AATTTGACCAGACACACACACAGAGAGAGAGAGACAGAGAGAGAGAGCACTTGATCCCAACCAGTTCTAAAATCAACTAACAGCGGCCAGCTTTTGCTGGACACTGCATTCAAATTATTATGGTATTATTCGATTTTGCAGATGAGAAAACAAGGTCAGAAGACAAAAAAACTCACTCAAGGCCCACAGCTAAGTGACAGAGCTGGAATTACTCCTTATTCTGCTGACTCTGGAACCTGTCCATATTCTAGGCCACTGGTTTTTGCTACCTCCCTACTCTACCTGTCCCCTGTCCCCCTGGCTCTCTGGCCCCCAGGGGAAAAGCATGGAGCAACTTGGGCAAGTGGAGCAAGGAGACTGAGCTTCCATTATCTAGCCGCAGCAAGCACTGCCTTGCACACATGTCTCTGGCCCCAGTGTGCCCAGAAGTCTCCTACTGCTAAGTAGAGAGGTCTTCACTTACGTAAGAGGCAGGATTTGGTCAAGTTAACACTAAACGAGTGGCAGCATCCATTTCTGCCTGGAGTACACAGTTACAAAAGCCTGTCTGGAGTGTCGTAGAGTTTAGCAAAGATGAGTTAATAATCAGGCATAGAGATGGGCTCAGGTTTCAGCTATAGGCCTGCCCAGATCAACTTCTCACTGAACTCTACTGGGACCTGCACGTTTTCTAGGGTGCATCCCATGTAGGGGCCATCCAGTGTCTCTCCACCTGCCCAGCTCGCTGGCCTGGAGGGGATGGCAGGGGCCTCCTGACCACTGGTCTGTCGGACAGAGCTCATCGCTCCCTCTCCATTGATGTGGCATTAACGGCTCTGCTTCCTCTAGACTGAGGCATGAAAAGACCATGCAATAATTTGGGCAATTTCCAAAGGCTGCCTGGAAAGCCCGTATCACAGGATGGAGGGGCCACAAGCCCAGAGGCCTTTTCTATGATGAGCCTAAGTCTTGGGCACAGTGAGAAAGGCCTCTCCTCTCTGCTGTCCGTGCCAACCCAGGCCCCAACCCTGCTGCTGGAGCAGAGGAGCCAGGCACACACCTGCATCTTGGCTTTGTAAGTAATGTCGTCTCTACTCAAAACGCTGTTCCTTGCACACCAGTCTTGCTCGCCCCTTCACCCCCTTTGAGTCTTCGATCATATGCCACCCTCTCAGTGAGGCATCCCCTAATCACTCCTTTTAAAATCACAGCCCTCAGGGACCACCAGTTAGCGTAATGGCTATGTCGCTGGACGCCCACGTAGTCCCGGACCCAGTGGCTTAAAACTCACGCTGGGCATGTGTGCGTGCGTGCCCAAGATCCCGAGAGGAGAATGGAGGAGAAGGGATTGCGGCATGACCATCCCCCCTGGGGATGGTCTTGCTTTCTGTCTCTCTGTCTCTCTGCCTGTCTGGCGAGTGTACGCACCCTATAGCAAAAACCTCTAAAAAAAAAAATCACAGCCCTCACCCTACACTGCCTTTTGTGTTCCTGCTTTATTTTTTTTTTCCACAGCATCCATAACTGTCAGACATACTGTTTTACTTCATTCATTCATTCACGGCCCCCTCCAGAATATAAGCTCCACAAGGGAAGGGGGTGTTGTCTGCCTCATTCTGTCTGCAGTGCCTGGACAGCCCAGCAGGTGGCCCTCATTTCAGGAAGGGATGAACTTGGCCATCAGAGCCTGGCCTGTGAACAGCGTCTCTGCAGCTATTTCACAATGCCAGCGACACCGGGGGAGATCTGATCAGAGACTAGGTGGGACAACCCAAGGCATGCTCAGAGGTGACCTGAGCCGGCTTAGGAGACAGGTCACCTGGAGATGGCAGCACTAGCTTCAATGCCTCCCTCACGCCTTGGCGGGAAACCACATTGCTGGTGTCCATGGATGCCCGTTCGTTCTATGATGACCTCTTGGGCTATCCTCTTAGGTGGCTCTCCAAAGTCTGGGCTGTGCGACGCCACTGGCTGTAACGTAAGAATGGATCTTAGATAAGAACTGAGCAGACGGAGATTCTAGAGCATCTCATTCCCCAGGCACTCCGAAGGCAATGGCCAAGTGCTGGAAAAGGGCATGGCCAGGCCATGGGACCTGATGACAGGAGACTTGGTCACACATGGCCTAAACCCGGCTTGTCCATGCTTAGCTCGCTCTGTTTATAGCCATTCATCACCGGGGTGCACTGACTTCATCCCTACTGCCCTGGGGCCACGAAGCTTTATTTTTTTATTAATTATTTAATTTTTAAAAGTTGTTTATTTTAATTTGACCAGACACACACACAGAGAGAGAGAGACAGAGAGAGAGAGCACGCAAGCCACAAGATCCGGGACTTCAACTATGGTTGGCCATGTCGGAATGTCCAGCACTTTAACCACATCATCACCCACTAGTCCCCCTAGGACTCTTGTGCTATCATACTGACAGGCGTCACACTGCAGCTGACCGAGCCCTCTGCTCTCTCCAGAGTAAGAATATATGCCTGGTCCGGGCAGCGGGGTGGTGGCAGGCAACATCTCCTGGGAACTTACGGCCTGTGGTAGGTTCCGCTCCCGAGCAGAAGGCAGCAGGAGGAAAGCAGGAACACAAGTGTTAAGAGCACAGTGGAGGGACCAGCAGGTGGCGCAGTGGTTAAGGCACTGGACTTCCACATAGTGGACCGCGATTTAAGTCCTGGACCTGGTGGCTTGAAATTCACCTTGGGCTGGAGGCAGCAGGTGGCATGGTGGTTAAGGTCCTGGGCTCCCACATGGCCAACTGTGGTTCAAGTCCTGGACCTGATGGCTTGCTTTCTCACTTTCCCTCTCTTTCTGGTCAAATTAGTAATAATAAAAATTTAAAAAATAATAAACTCATGTTGGACATGTGTGAGTACATGCCCAAAATCCCAAGCAGAGAATGGAGAAGAAAGGATTGCGATGTGACCATCCCACCTGGGAGATTATTTCTTACTTTCTGTCTCTGGCTAGTGCACATACCCTATACCAAAAAATCTCTCTCCAAAACAAAAACAAATAAATAAAAGCACAGTAGAGCCAAAGCACATGGTTTCGAGTTCCAGTTCTGTCACTCAGTAGCTGGATATTCTTGGACAATGTCTTAACCTCATTGCACCTCAATTTCCTCGTCCGTAAAACGGGTTTACAGCGGTATCTGCTTCACTGGGGAGCTGTGAGGATTCAGCTAATTCACAAGATTAGTACTAAACCCAGTATTTTGCATATAGTGAGAGTTTGCTGCTGCTGTTGTTATTAAAATAAATGGAGGAAGGAAGACCACCCCCAGTTACTTGCCCAGGCTGGCCGAAGATCTCCAAGGTTATCAGAGTCCGGGGGCAGTTGAATTTGCCACTAATTAAAGGGCTAGACATAAGCCTTTTTCCTTTGGGTTTCAGAATGATGTAGGCTCAAGAAAAATCATCCTGGATGGAACCTTCTCAGTGACCACGGGAATTACTCTAAAGAGTAGCTGTCTGGGCACAAAGTATGACTCTGGAAAAAGAGGAAACAGGGCCCAAAGACACTAAATCCCCGAGTTTATAATTAACAGAAGAGCATTCACTCTGCCTACGCTGGAGCCATGTGGCTCGCAGGGGAAGGGCACATACTCACACAAAAATAACCCCCCAGTGGGTTTTTGATGTGTTGAGCCTCTTTGTTTTTCTGAATTTTAATGAAGAGCTTTCCAAGCAGGCTAAGAATCACTCAGTGCTCCCCATGGCCAAGGAGTCGGCCTTGGTGAGCTGCTGTCCGCCTGCACAGGCCTGATCCGAAGCAACATCTGGGAGAGAAGGGCATGGAGAGGTCCCTGTCCTCAGATGAGATTTCTTGGGGAAGAAAGCAAAACAAAAACAAAAGATGTCTGTGTTTAGGAAGAGGGTTGGGCTCTGCTCCTGAATTTAGCACGTTGTGGGAAACAGGCTGTTAAGATGCTCAGGGGAGCAGTGGAGAGAAACAGCTCATATCTCAAGGGTCAGATCCCAAAGAGAGTGCTTCTGTGGAATTCTTGGGGATGCTAGGCTAGCCCCTTCCAATAAAAAGCCCCAAATCAGGCTCTGGGATCCTGTGGCAAAAGGGAAAGACATGGTTTTGGAGCACAGAGCATGGCTTGCAGGAAGATAGAAAAAGAGAATGCTGTCAGAACAGCCACCAAACTCTGTGAGAGTCATGTCACCTCATCACGCCCACGTCTTGCTTCTTGGCTACAGCTGGCTGGACGTGCGTGAGGAGGTGATGTGCAGCTTCACTCCTGTCACTGAACGGTACTGGATGTCCACAGGAAGCCATGTGCCAGGCCCTGCCCAGGCTCCCTCTCTATATCCCTGCCTCACCACGTTTGCAGGTTCCACACTCCAAGAATGGCCAGGGTCTCCTGAGAAGTGGACAACTTGCAGTAGGAACGCCCATTCCTTCTCTTGCATCTAACTTCCCCTCTGCTCTTCCACAACATGGAGAGTTAGAGTTTGCACTGGATTGTTTAAAAGTTACCCTCTGGGGCTGGCAGTATGGTTAAGGCACTGAATTCTGAATTCACACGTGGTCGACTATGGTTTGAATCCTAGACCTGGTGGCTTGCTTTCTCACTCCCCTCACCCATCTCTGTCTCTCTCTAGTCAAATTAAAATAATAACAATAATAATAATTTAATTTAATTTAAAAATTTATTTAAAAAGTTACCTTCCAAGGGGCCAGTAGGTGGTGTGGTGGTTAAGGTGTGGATTCCATATGGTCGACCATGGTTTGCATTCTGGTCCTGGAGCCTGAAAATCATGCTGTGTGCCTGCGTGCACGCCCCAGTTCCCAGGAGGACCAAAATCCCAGGAGGAGCACGAAGAAAGGAGAAAGGATTACAGGTGTCCATCCCCCCTTGGGGGTGATTTCTCACTTCTTCTCTCTCTGTCTCTCTCTGGCAAGTGCATGAGCTCCATAGCAAAAGCCTAAATTAAAAACAACCTTTTAAAAAAGTTTCCCACAAATCTGTCCAAAATGGTGCTAAAAAGAAATGGAAGAGATAGACACAGAATAAAGCAATTTATTATAACTGAATGATCCAATGTGGTCTACTGAAAATAAGTATTTGTATTAAAAAATATTCCATATAAAAAAATCTAAGCTGTTTGCAAGCTTCTTTAGTTGTGTGCTTAATGCATTTTCTCAAGTCCAAAGCAGAGGTTCCGGGTCAGGTGTGCCTGGGCTGGCCTATAGGGTCCTCCTTCTCCGTCTGCAGCTGGTCCCACTCAGTGAGGAGCTCTGAGGATACCTCAGTGTACAGGAGGTCCCAGTCCCAGCTGACATCATCCTGCCACGAGAGGGTATTGCTGGGTTAAGACAAAACAAGGTCTTTCCTCTGAAGTGCCCTCAGGGACGCCTGGGGAGGCAGATGGTAATGGGAAGGGACGAGGCTGAGAGTGAGGGCCGCTGCTGCTACTGTACCTCTCGAACCTCATGCTCTGGTGCAAGGACTTTGGTGAGAAGCTTCAGGTCAATCTCGCCATCCTGCAAATACAAAAAAAAAAAAAAAAAAAAAAAAAAAAAAAAAAAAGCCCAGATGGGCAACTTGAGCACCTACAGGCAACTATCTCTTGCAAAGGAAGGAGGCTCAGCCTGTGTGTGTTATCCAAAGTGAGACCCACAGAGATGCATTAGGAAAAGTGTAAAATCCTGAGTGGGCCACATTGCTGAGACACAGGGCCACCTAGGACTTCTTACATGCTGGGTAAGCCTTGGGGGGAAGGGCAAGCCCAGGAAGGCAGAGCAAGACAGCAGCAGCACATCCACAGGGGAATGGAGTCCCTCAGGTGCCAAGTGGGCAGCCAGGGAAGCAGATGGGAGCCTGGCACTGGGCAGCACTGGAGCATGTTGAGTACAGATGCTGTGAGATACCCCAGGACAGTAACTCCAGCAAAGGTCCTGTGGCCAGGCAGTGCCAGCACCCATGGAGGAGATGCTGCATAGCTTTGGAGGAACTGAGACATCTCTCCAGAAGTTGCTTGGGGGCAGCCCCTCTGTGCAGAAGCTTTTCCACTCACCAAGGTCTGGAAGGCAGAGTACTTCATGAGGTCATTGTCCAGATCACGGTAGGTCATCACCCGGTTTACCTGGATGCTGAAGGAAAGAGAGAGTGAGGAGGAACCACAGACAGGTCCCGGTGCAGGAATGCAGTCACTGTCCCCACGTGCTCCTGAGGATGACAAGAATGGGAACACAATATCTGCACAAAATGTGAACCCTAGAATGCACACCATCAGCAGAAAGACCTGGAGCTACATGGTGGGGTGCGGGCAGGGAAGGCCCACCGTAGACCATGTTTGCAGTGTATTAATTCCCATGTCCACCATCTCCCTGCCAATTCATACCTAACCTAACCTAGCCTACCTGGGCGGGGCTGCCACTTGCAAAACAAAGTCTTCTTCCTGTACTTCTTCCAGATCCGGAATAACGGGAATGTCTGCAATGAGAGATGGAGCAAAATTGTCCACAGCATGAACAGGGGTGGTGTCTGCTTCTCCATGTACTACTCACCTTCAATGCACAGCCACGGCTGTAGCTGGGACGGAAGGGACACTTGGCCACAGCCTCTGGTCCCAGAGGCTTCTAGGCCAGGGTATGGTACTGCACTAGGGGTGCACATTGGAATTGAAAATGGAGTCTCAGTGTGCTCTGAATCCGAGGCCTCACCCCAGAACCTGCTGAGGAAGAACCTTCTGGGCAGGTGTCAGGCCTCTGCATTTTCCCCTAAGATTTCTCCAGTGATTCTAACTCAAGCACCAGGTCAGGCCACTGCAGTGGATGTCGAGAGAGGAATGTAAAGAGGTGAAAAGAGGCTCCAAGACAGCACTTGGAAGGGGCTTCTATCAGAGGAGAGGACAGCGGAGGAGGGAGCGATGATGCGCCTTGTATGTCCAGAGACACAGGCACTGAGAACGTGTAGTGCCACTAAGTGGATGTCACGAGGAGGGTCACTCCTCACCATTCATCTGCACGTGCATTACCTTGCATTACCTCCAGAGCAGCTGTTGCAGCCCTTAGTCTGCATCTGAAGGACAGTCAGTCATGCAACCTGGCTCTCCAACATGGTACCTGGATCAGGGTCTCCATGTGCCGGAGTAAACAATGCCAATTCTAAAGATCACACTTTTTTTTTTTTTTTAATTTGCTACAGGGCATGTGCGCTCACTGGAGAGAAAGAGAGAGCGAGAGAGAGCGAGCAAGCGAGAGAGAAAGTTAGAAAGTGCTCCCCTAGGGTTGGGACCAGCAGTTAGCGTAATGGCTATGTCGCTGGACTCCCATGTAGTCGACCGCAGTTCGTGTCCCGGACCTGGTGGCTTAAAACTCACGTTGGGCACGTGTGTGTGCGTGCCCAAGATCCCGAGAGGAGAATGTAGCAGAAGGGATGCGGCGTGGCCATCCCCCCTGGGGGGTGATTTCTCGCTTTCTGTCTCTCTGTCTCTCTCTGTCTGGCGAGCGCATGCGCCCTATAGCAAAGAACCTCTCCCCCCCCCCCAAAAAAAAAAATTAAAAAAAAAGAAAGAAAAAAAAAAGAAAGTGCTCCCGTAGGGAGGATGACCAAGCTGCAATCTATTCTCTCAGGATTTTGGGCATGCATGCACATGCATCGGGCATGTTTTTCAAGTCGCCAGGTCTGGGACTCAAACCATGAAGTCGGCCATGTGGGATCCAACTGACTTAACCAGCATAATACCTGGCTGGCCCAAGGTCACATTTTCTTGATGTCACACAGGATTTCCCTTTCTCTGAACTCTACAGGTAGGAGGAGTTCCAAGGCCATTTCTTTCATGAGTCTCACATTAAAGTCATGCAAATAGAGAACCTGAGAAACAGCACAGTACTGAACTGTGGCTACTTGTTTAAGTTACCAAAAACTGTGCACCTTCTCATGGGGACAACCTAACACACTAAAAAAAACATTTCTTTCCCCAAAAGGGTAATGCCCACTTGTTGAGGGACTCTGTTTTAACCAATCAGAGCAGAGAGAGAGAGAGAGAATCAACTGCAAACACTCGAAGGAAGAAAATCTCAAAAATCTCAAAGAGAAGAGATTACTGAAGAAACCTTCATTTCTGCTCTCATGGACTAAAGTCAATATTTTTTTCACTGCCTTTTTTTTTTTTTGAGAAGTTTTTGCTATAGGGTGCGTGCGCTCGCCAGAAAGACAGAGAGAGACAGACAGAAAGCGAGAAATCACCCCCCAGAGGGGATGGCCACGCCGCAATCTCTTCTCCTCCATTCTCCTCTCGGGATCTTGGGCACGCACGCACACGCGCCCGGCGTGAGTTTAAGCCAGTAGGTTTGGCACTCGAAAAGCGATCAACTACATACGAGTCCAGCAACATAGCCATTACGCCAACTGTTGGTCCCACTGCTTTTTTTTTTTTTTTAATTCTCAGAAAGCTCTTTTCTCTCTCTTCCCAGAGAGAGAAACAGAGAGAGAGAAAGCACTTCCCAATGGGGTGTGACCACACCACAATCACTTCTCTCTCCTTTTGGGATTTTGAGTATGCATACACATGCACCCAGCATGTTTTTCAAGCTGCTGGGACCAGGATTTGAACTGTAGTTAGCCATGTGGTATCCAGCTCCCTTCAACACTAGCCTACCAGTTGACCCCAATTTTATTTTTAAAGAGGATCATTCCAAGAACAGCTGGAAGAATCTCACCACTTGCAGGTTGTTCATTTTTTAGATTCTGCAACTGCTCTAGTCAAGCTAAGCCTGAGTCTCTAAATGTCAGTGCCAAGCTTGGTGTCTTCATTATTACTCTGACTATGGAGTCACATATGTGGCTTCTGGAAAAAGAGAGAGACAGAGACACAGAAAGTAAAACAGACAGAAAGAGGCAGACTGAGAAAGAAAATCATTAAAAAGAGCGCAAAGAAAGAAAAATAAAAGAAAGTGCTGATAGGAGAAATAGAGATACATATACCACCCCCGAAATAATGAACCACGTTCTGCTAGTCCTGTGTCTCGAAAGGAGCTGTTCAAGGCTTAGATCATATCTCTCTATCCTGCCGGAGAATTAGAGATGGAATTCTCTAAGATTCTATTTCTTATGCTAATAGAAATTTAGCTTTTTCCCCTCACTGTCTCGCCGAGTGATTAATACAGTCCATTGTGCAGGCTGCTGACAATGTCATTCCCTGAGCCCAGGGTGAGCGGGCTCCCAGGCTGTTGAGATTGCAGTCCCTGCAGAGGGACAGGAGGACGCTGGCTGTGCCATGTGCCATCATCGGCAGCGTGACAGTCTTGGAGCGAGCCAGTTAACTGCTCCTGGCTCTCCTCGGGTGTGGAGTCCAGCCTGAGATGAATATTCAGAAGTTGTAAGAAAATGCCCCATGCTGAGTATAGAGCTCAGGATGGGATCTTCCCCAACTCCCCTTTCCCTCCACAACTTTAGCATTTGGGTCCTGTCAACTCTGCCCAGCTTCTCGGAGCTCAGAGGAACCGCACTTCTGCCCAGTGTCCACTCTCACTCCCTGTGGGTGTCCCTCTTCGTCCCCACACCCCTCCTCCAAATGTGCACAAAAGAGCATGGGGCTGGCCCATCTGTGACAGATCAGAGGTCAGCTCGGGCCTTGGCAAAGGGGCCGCTCAGAGTGGCACTGGTGGGGCCGGCCACACAGTGGGATTTCTCTCTAATTGGAAGCCTGGTGCCCGGCAGAACCTGGTGAACCGCCGGAGTGGGACAGAGCCAGCGATGACAGCCAGGCCAAGGCAAGCTGGAACATTCCGCTGCAGTGACAGCTTGAGCCATCGCAGCAGAGGCCGGCCATCCAACTCCCGGCCCCAGCGGAACAGGTGGCCGTGAAGCAGGTTCTGGGCAAACTTCAAAGAACTTCACAATTTCAGTTTCTGACTTAAAATCATAGATGAGTGCTTACTTCTGTGTACATAATATGTTCTGGGGAATTTTTCCCTCCTTTCTCTCCTTCCCTCCCCCAACCTTCATCCCCTTTCTCACACAGAGATGAACAAACCTAAAAACAGACAACAGACTAGAAAATCTGCTTTTTACAAAATTACCTACAGAGAATGACCCAGCACTGCCTCCAATCTGAGACGGCAACTTGATCTACATGTGTGGCCTGGTGACCCACTCTGATTCAGAATGTAAAGTTTAACATGAGAAGTTTTTTTTTTTAGAGAGAGATTTTTGCTATAGGGCACATGTGCTTGCCAGAGAGACAGAGAGACAGAGAGCAAGAAATCACCCCCCCAGGAAGGCTGGCCATGCCATGATCCCTTCTCCTTCATTCTCCTCTCCGGATATTTGGGCACGCATGCACACACGCCCAACATGAGTTTTAAGTTGCTAGGCCAGTACTCGAACCATGATCAACTACGTGGGAGTCCAGCGATGTAACCATTAGGCCATCTGCTGGTCCCAACGTGCAAAGTTTTTTTTTTTTTTTGAGAGGTTTTTGGTATAGGGTGCATGTGCTCGCCAGAAAGACAGAGAGAGTCAGAGAGACAGAAAATGAGAAATCCTCCCCCCAGGGGGAATGGCCACACCATAATCCCTTCTCCTCCATTCTCCTCTCAGGATCTTGGGCACGCACGCACACGCGCCCGGCGTGAGTTTAAGCCACTGGGTCCGGGACTCGAACCACGGTCAACTACATGGGAGTCCAGTGACATAGCCATTACGCCAACTGCTAGTCCCCCAACGTGCAAAGATTTTAATAGAGATGATAAGAGCAGCTCAGGAAGAGTCGGTGCTTGCATTGTTGAAAAGTTACTGCTTTTATAAAAAAAATCCGAGTTATGTTTACTTCAGTCTCCTTTTCCTCTATGCTGCTACTACTAAGAAGAATATTAAGGGGGCCAGCAGGTGGCGTGGTGGTTAAGGGTGCTGGACTCCCACATGGCTGACCGTGGTTCTAGTCCTGGACCTGGAGGCTTGTTTTCTCACTTTCTCTCAGTCTCTCTCTCCTTCTATCCCTCTCTTGTGAAATTAAAATAAATAAATAAATACATAGATAAATAAAGTTGAATAAAAGAATTCTTTAAAAAAATATTAAGAATAGTAGTGAGCAGCAGGAGGTGGTGTGGTGGTTGCAGTGCTGGACTTCCACATGGCTGACCACGGTTCAAGTCCTGGACCAGGTGGCTTGCTTTCTTACTTCCTCTCTTTCTCTCTCCTATGTGCATGTATCCTATGGCAAAAATAAATAAATAAATAAATAAATAAATAAGTTAGATAGATAGCCATGAGGTAATTAAAGCATGGTATGGATGATTCCTGCTCTGCAGTTTAGAAGTGCAGCCTCGGGCCAGCAGACAATGTGGTGGTTAAGGCACTGGACTCCCACATGGCTGACCGTGGTCAGAGTCCTGGACCTGGTGGCTTGAAAATCATGCCAGGCGTGTGTGTGTGTGCCCAAAATCTCAAGAGGAGAATGGAAGAGAAGGGATTGCAGTATGGCCTTC